TGAGCGGGGCGCCGCGCGGGCCGGGGCCGGGCCGGGCCGCCTTAGTCCCGCCTCGGGCAGCTGATGCGGAGAAGTGACTTTCCCAAATGTCCGCTGCTTCCGTTCGTCCCACATGAACCATCCCTCATTATTTCATAGAGCCTTACATTTTGGTCATTTGAGTTATTTTCACCTTCTGGAGTACTGATTTTGGTTGATGTTGATGTATTTTGGTCATTTGAGTTATTTTCACCTGGAGTGCTGATTTTGGTTGATGTTGATGCGAATTAGAAGTTTGTGCAAGGTGAGTTACAGTTGCGTGTTGAGTTGATAGAACTTCGTTATGCAGGTGGAAGTGGTAAATGCTTTTGTCAAGGAATTAAGTTTACCTAATTACAGAATATATCAGGGTTTTGAGGTGCTGCTTGCCTTCTGACTGCTTTTTCTGATCATAGTAAGGTGGTGTCCAGTTTACTAAAAGCAAATTACAAGCACATAATATAGGGGAAATTGAGTTGTTTGTTTGTTTCATTTTTTAACTGCTTTGTACTTTCTTTTTTAAAGCCTTTATTTTTTATATCTCAGAACATTAGATGTTGTCCATGTTCATAATGTTGTCTTATCCTTCTCTGTTGTATATACTTATTTAAAGTGTTTATTTTTCTTTTCAGGCAAGACTACTTTAGCTGATTGCCTGATTTCTAGCAATGGAATAATCTCCAGCCGCTTGGCGGGAAAGGTAGAGTGTTGCCGTAATCTTAAACAAAATTCTGGTGGGTATGTACTCTTGGTTCGTAGCTCGGGGGGATCAAGGAATGAAGCTTGAAGTCTCGCTAGGTCATATTTTCCCTCAGGAATACTCTTTGACAGTTGAGAAGTAATTTGTGAAGATAAGTCTGCTGATTTGTCACCTCTTTTTCTGCTTTGTACTCAGCTGAGGTACTTAGACAGTCGAGAAGATGAACAGATCCGAGGAATAACGATGAAATCCAGTGCCATTTCATTGCACTTTGAAAAGGGTAAGTTATTGATGCTGGCAGGTATAAACTTCAAGATTTTTACTCATCTTCTCTTTCTGTTTTTTTTTTTCTTGTTGAAATCTTTTTATATGTAGCTTTCAGAATTTTTTTCATGTTAGGGTGTGACGCTGCAGACACCTAGACTTTTTAGTTAACAATCAATTAGGAGAGTCAAGTTCTATCTTAGTGTTAAAGAAGTTACATTAAAAATTTAAAATAAGCAAGTCAGAAGTTTCCTGCTGCGTATTTATGTGTACTCTGCAGTATTCTTTGATTATTACTTTTCACAGTTTCGTGAATTTCAAAATTTTAATCCTATACTGTATTTTTTGGTGACTGCTGGTTCATCATGTGGTTCTGTGCTTAAAGCACTGTAAACAGCTTAGTGGAAAGTTTTGAAAGCATAACTGCTACTGCAGTTCTTAGTATTAGAAACTAATAGTAGCTTAAACAGTATAACCAAGTGACTGAAATAAATACTGTTGAGAACTGTTTTGTAATGCTACCTTATTGTTTGCTCCCAGGTGATGAGGAGTATCTGATTAACTTAATAGATTCCCCAGGGCATGTGGATTTTTCTTCAGAAGTATCTACTGCTGTCCGACTCTGTGATGGTTGCATCATAGTGGTGGATGCTGTTGAAGGAGTCTGTCCACAGGTGAAATAAAGTATATTAAATACGTGAAGAGGATAGAGAAGAGAGAGTAAGCAAAAGAATGCTTATATGTCTTAAGTATATAGTTAGAAATAAAAGGTAAACTGATTTAAGAAGTTTTGTGAAATTTTCCATAAATATCATACGAATGAAAGAAGACAGCGTTTTGGTTTTTTTTCCGCACTTGCACTGAAAAAAAGAAAGAGTAACGTTTATTGGTGAGTGGGTGTTGAAGCAGTGAGTGTATCTTTCTGATAATGGCTTATTTGCATAGGGAGGAATAAATGTTTAAGGGGAAAATTAATCAAATAATATTTTTATGTGTGTTCAGGGAATTGAAAGTGAAAAAATATTCAAAAAAGCATTGTGATGGTTATGTTTACTTTTTCATGGTTTGATTTTGAAACTTGGTTTAGAAACTGTGTGTTAGGAGCAGCTTTATTGCCATAAAAATAGTCTCCTCAGAATTCTGTAAAAACTAACACTATATGCGATAGGAGTCAGGGTTCTGGTTGACATTTCAAACCAGAGTCTTATTGTAAATTTATTTGCATTTTAAAATTATGTTGCCATTTTCTTTAACCCTACACTTCTTTTGTGGGATTGAGCTTTCTGTGGTGGATTTAAAAACAACAACAACAACAAAAAAACCTATTTCTTCTTAATAGACTCAAGCAGTTCTACGGCAAGCATGGCTAGAAAATATCCGTCCAGTATTGGTGATCAATAAGATTGACCGTTTGATTGTGGAACTCAAGTTCACCCCTCAGGAAGCCTACATGCATCTGAAGAATATCTTGGAGCAGGTATTCACGCTCTACTGCCATGTTCATGCAGCAGCTTTTGTTTTGTTTGTCTCCTTCCCCTTTTTCTCTCAATTGAGTGACACTGGGGTTTTCAATGGCTTATACCTGGAATAAATATAGTGTAGTAGAACCAGTTTTCCTTGCGTTGTGAGACCAAGTGCTATCATGCACATTCTGCACCTCAGATGGTACTGTAGAAAGAATATGAAATATGTTTTCTGGGAAAATATTGGTGGGTGTATGCAGAAATGAAATTAATTCATCTTTAAAGCTGTAAATTAAGTTGCCTTTAAACTTTATTTTCAGAGTTTTCTGTAAGCGCTTATCTACATGGGTTACCCTTGGCCCTTGTTTCTTGCTTACTTGTTGAATGTAGTGAGGTTTTATGTCACCATTCTTTATTTGGAGATACAAAGTACATTATGTGTGATAACCTATATCTGAATCATTCCTCATCACACCCCTCCTTTCATATGAACAGGATTAGATACAGAAGAGCTTGTGTTTAAAATTGCGTTATGAATCCTAAGCATGGCTTTTCAATTTATTAAACAAAAAAATCTGCTTTTTTTTACCCTTGGCAGGCTTGTGTTGAATTGCATTTTAGATGCAGTTGTTGCGAAGGAATGAGTAAATCTTAGGATGTTCTTACGTACCCTCCCATAGGTCAATGCAGTCACAGGAACGCTCTTTACCTCTAAAGTACTAGAAGAAAGAGCTGAGAAAGAAACAGAAATTGCTTCGGATTCTGCACCAGGAGATCAAATTTATGACTGGAGTGCTGGCTTAGAAGATACTGATGATTCCCATCTTTATTTCTCACCAGACCATGGAAATGTGGTGTTTGCCAGTGCAATTGATGGCTGGGGTTTTGGGTAAGTCTGAGATTTAGATACCGTCTTTCTATTATATTATTACTGTAACACCCTAAAATGTTGTCAGTTGCATTATATTTTTAATGTTTTTTTTGTGTGTGTGATGGGCTGCTGTGTAGCTCTCTGTTCTACTATATCATAACACTGGACAACTGAAAATAATACTGACTTTGGCACCTGTCTATGGAATCGGCTGCTCCTGAGCAGGGACTTCTAATTTATATTGCAGCTGCTAAGCCAACTGTACTTAGGGCCTAGCCTATCAAGGTGAACTTAGTGTCCCATTGATTAGTGCAATTTAAATGGAGTAGGCTAAAAACTGCAGGAGTGCAAGAGCTGTTTCACAGGAAGATTGTCCCTTCTAGCTCCAGGGACAGTGACATTCATAACAAGTGTAACAAGATGGACAGCTGGCAACAGGATATGAGTTTCAGCTGTCCAGTTCTGTCCACAGCAGAGCGCATTCAGGGTTATGGAATTTGTTTGATCTGCTATTTCTCTACTAGAGTTCAGATTCTTCTTGAAATTACGCCTGTGTTCTCAGGTGTTAATACTTACCTGTCATAATTAGCTTTTTTTTTTTTTTCCTGTTATTTTTCTTCTTTCAGGTGCATTTCTTATCTCTTTTCACATAACATTTGCACTTCTGTTTCAGCAGTTATTGAAGACCATTGCAGAGAATTTGAGGGCAGAACATTTTCAGAAAATTGGCTGTATTTGAGTTTGCTGTCAGGTCTGTTTTTCAGTCCTGCTCTTAGTAATGAGGTTCAGAGGGCAGCAGCCAGCTGCGAGGGTTGCACATACTGATTAGCTGCCGCAAGGTGGAGTCCTTGTCTTTATTCTGAGTACACAATTAGAGAAGTGTGCTCTATAATTTAGTCCACATCTTTATTTTTTTAATGGTTGTGCAATATTGAACTGTAGCATTTTTAAGTCAAGGTCAAGCTTTCATTTGAATTTAAGGTTCTTCATACCAGATGCATGAGGGAAGACCTTTCCATTTATGTAGAAAACCTCATCTAGCCTTCGCACCTTTTGTGGTCCACACATGAACACAGATGTTGTCTGAACTCCCCCAGGGTACCCACAATTGCAGTTCTGCAGTACTACTCAGTGCTTGGTGTCTCTGCCACCTCACAGCACAGAAAGCCAGCGCTTTGCTGGTTGGATTTCCTCCAGCTTCCCGCCCTACTTGGCGGCACTGTGTCCTAAATCATGTGTAGGATGGGTCTGATGCTGAACATCCCTTCTGTGAGCTGCTCCCCACCTGCCTCGGCCTAAATTCTCCATGCCTTACCTAATTGCCTGCACACCCACCTAACTGTGCAGTGTAGCCTTTCCCTGTTATCCAGCGCTCCGTAACATTTCTCCTTCTTCATTTCAAGAGCTCAGTCTCACCCTCTGGTCTCTTTTGTTGGAGAGAAAACAGGCTGGGCATATGGCAGTGTGCGATGCGCTGGCTCGTGCATTTAGAATGTGCGTGTGAGAACGGGAGCACCCGTGAGGAAAAGAGCGTGTGAGGGCGTGGGGCTCGGTATGAATGATGCGTGGCCAGGTTGGGAGCCAGCTCTGTGAGACCAAGGTGCAACAAGAGGACAAGTGCTGAGTTAGAGGAGTGCGAGGGGATGTCATGGCTGTGGGCTGAGTGTGTTTAAGTTCCAGCTGGTTCCAGTACCTGCAGGTAGATCTATCCTACATCCACGTTTTTGTTTTTTAATGGGAAACTACACTGTAGGACTTTGATCTTTGTACTCACTACTGATGTCAGGCTTGTGCTTCTGCCTAAATTCCCTCTTTAAATTCACTGTCATATGATTTAAAGAGATTAAGTTCAGATACGAGATGAAATAAATCATATGTAAGAGAGAGAACTGGAATCCCACTTTGCACAATTAAAAATCCCTAAAGAAAGGGCAGTGTAAATCACTCTTAATGCAGTGTGTCTGTCTGTCCTGTTTTTTGTCTTTCTGTGTACAGGGGAAATCGTTTTGAGAATAACTGGCTGCAGAAATGATAGTACTTGCAGTGCCTGAATGACACCTGAGTCAAATGTAGTAATGTTAAGAAAAGCAAAGCATTCCTGTGTATATTTTAGCTGAATGTATACTGTAGGATTTTTCTAATTTTGTTCTTCTGACTGTCATCTCGTTCTTTAAGATCTGTTTCTCTGGGGCAGTATTGGTATTCCAGATCAGTTAGAACTTTGGTACGCACTGCATTTTTTTTTTTCTTTTGGCATGAATATGAGAATAAAAAAATGTGTTTGTTAAGATTCTCCAAGTGTTACTTCTTTTCTGTTGTATATATTGAAACATTTCTTAGATTGTCTTAATTGAATTATCCCTGTGTTAGACTGTGTCTCAGCCAGAGACTACATGATTTGGTATTTTTTTCTTGTTCCGTGTAAATCAGGTACCCAGTACATAATAGTTTGATTTATATTAGACTGTTTTCTGTCCCACACAATGTTCCTACAGCTTAGACAATATGACATGAGTCCTATCTGGTAATTTTCTGACATATCTGTTCTTATTCTCTATTTTTTTTCTCTCCTCTGACATTGTCAGAATGTATTAACATATTTCTTGAAACTTAGTGAAAGCCTGTCTTGGTTGCTGATACCACTTGGCAGCTTCTGGTGAGCTGGTGGGTCCTGGTTCAGAGAAATCATGTAATGGAAGAAAAAAAGCCTTTTTCTTAATTGATTTTGGGAGATGAGTCTGGACTGCCAGCAATACCATCTGGTGAAATATGGATCAGTGGAAAATTTTCTTAATTATGGCAGGCCTTGACTGTTGGTAGATGTTTTGGGGTTTTGTTCTTAAGAATGTTATGATTTGTTGTGGAAGAATAAATAAAGCCATTAGGCAGTGCCAGTCTGATGCCGTGCTGAGATGAGTACAAGTGCTTTTCTCAAAATCTTCAGATGTTGAAAGAGTGCCACAAAACACATGCAGCAGCTGCTGACACAAGAATCATGGAGTTTTTCTCATCTTTCAACTTTTGGGGAACTACTGGAAAAAAAATTGCTTTGGGCTCAGTTCAGGACATACATATCTTGCTGACATGAACAGGTGCTTTAGATATGCAGAAACTGCTGAATTTTGCAGCTGGAAGGACAGATTATTAAATTATGTTCTGATTGTGAATGTCTCTTTTTCTGTGTGTATGGGAAGAAAATATGTGAAAACAAAATCTTCTACAAATACTCATTGAACACTTTCGGCGAGGAAACCACAGATTCTCTATAACCCCTTCTAAGGTTCTATTAAGGTTCTTCTAAGGTTCTACTTCTAAAACTCTCAACCCACAGAATTGTCTTTTCCTTATGGCATTATGTTTTTACATTTTCTGTCCTTGGCTAATTATTTAAGCAATACTTCAAACAAGGAGTGGCCTAAATAGTTGATTTAAAAAATATTTACCTTCATTTGACAGGTTGAGCTCAAGTGTGGTTCCAAGGGTATTTGATATTTGATATTTCAAAGGATTTTGATATTTTGATTTGATATTTTAGCTTCTACCCTTCTGATCACAGATCATAGTTAAATGCATAATGTGCATTTCATAAAACAAACATGAAAGTCACGGCTTAGTATTTAGAAGGTTTATTTTATGACTCTCATTTTTCACTCCAGGGGTAGTATAAAAGTATTTCAGACAAATAAGTTCAGTTTTTAAGCTGTCTTGAAACAAAAATAAAAACAAATACTGCTGATGTTTTTGAGCTCTTAATACTGATTTTTTTTTTAAGGTGTAAAATAGCGTAAGCTCAGGTGAAGGCAGTAAGGGAAAATAGGAATAAAATAAGGATTTGTGGTTTGTATATGATTATTGTATAAGCTATCGCTTGTTTGGTCTGATAAACACATCCAAACAGAAACAGCATTACAGTTTAATCAACAGGCCTTTTTTTTTTTTCTCTCCTCTCTTTCAGGATTGAGCATTTTGCCAAACTGTATAGCCAAAAGATGGGAATCAAGCCTGCAGTACTTCTGAAGACTTTATGGGGAGATTATTATTTAAACACAAAAGCAAAGAAGATAATGAAAGGTGATCAGGTAATTTCTTGAGAAGGTCGTTGATGACCTTCTGTACTTTTCTTTGTTGTGTAGTTTGAAAATTGGACTCACTCCGTATGTTTTTCAATCAAAGTTAATAGAGTTATTAACCCACTAGGATACCCTTGCATCAGCCCTTAGAGACAAGATCATTCAAAAATTCTTTAAGTCAGATCTCATCTAACATGCTATACATATTCACATATTCAAATCACATATTCAAACAAAGTTTCTTAATAGAGTATGAATTAGAAATCTTGTGTAGTTATCTTTTTCTGACTAGTTTGTTTCCGCATAAAGGCTTTACCAGTTCCTCAGAAGAATATTTAGTTTAAAGTCTAGCCTAACAGCTTTTGGTAAAACTGAGGCATGGCTAGTAGTTAGCTGTATAATGCTTATTTTATGTTTTACCAGTCAAAAGGGAAGAAACCCTTGTTTGTGCAGTTGGTGCTGGACAACATATGGAGTCTGTATGAATCTGTTATGAAAAGGTGAGAACTGTGATTTTTTTTCATGGAATCACTTACTAATTGGTATAATGATTTTTAAAATATTCAGATCACTTCAAAACACAAAAGGTTGTAGATGTGTTAAAAATTACTGGTAGTCTTATTTTGTCTTTTTTTCCCCTCCTTATAGAGATAAAGAAAAAATTGAGAAGATAGTCACCTCATTGGGATTGAAAATCGGTCCACGGGAGTCACGGCATGCAGACCCTAAAGTCCATCTTAATGCCATTTGTAGCCAGTGGCTACCAATATCCGAGGCAGTCCTCTGTATCCTTAAAGACAAACTTATTCTATTGGCAGTTTTTAGATTTCAGAGCTTGCTGATGTGTTTCAGTATGTGACTTGGTATAATTTGTTTTCTTTTTCATGCCTATCATAATTTGACCTATTTTCTCAGTTAATACGTCTATCCGCGTATTTACATATCTACAGTTATTTTTACTAGGTTCATGTTCTACAGCCATGTTTTCACTGGAAAATAACTTATAATGTAAGGAAATATTTTTTGTTACATAGTTTATATCTAAATTTTAGTATTTTTCCTGAAGGATAAGCTAATCTCCTGTTTATAGTTCTATTTTTTCCATGATTTTTAATAAATTTTAGACACAGCCATTTACAATACAAGATCAGCCTTTACTGTTTGTTGTCTGTCTTTGCATTCTCTATTAAAAAATATATGTGCACATATCAAATTGTTCCTAATATATAACACATAACGAACATGTAATTATTCAGCATTTTTTTTTCGCACAGATATACTGAAGAATGGCTTTTGCCTGAAAGGGATTTTATTCTCTGGTGGTATGCTTTGTTGTAGATGCTGCAGTGACTGTAGCCTCCCTTTGAGAAAGTGTTTAGGAATGACTATATTTTAAATTTGATTCCTACTTTAGTTTCTGATTTGATATTCTTTCTGAATATTTTCTTGTTATATGTTAGGGTGATGGTAGTGTTGGACTTACATGAAAGCTCACTTTTTGTTAAGATCCAAATTAGTGAGAGTTTCATTTGGAGAAAAACGTAATCGCTGGAGTAATAATGTGTAAAAGACAGTAAGGAGGGTAATTTGTTTTTGTTGTGTGTTTTCTCATAATAACTAAAGATGTTGATGAATCAATGCTGTGAGTGAAGCTAGGGAGACATCTGCATAAATTTAAGTGAGGAGCAAATACCTCACTGCAAGATTAAGGAGAGAGCTGCATGGTTAGAACTGAGAGGAAAGAACTGATTAAATTTTAGCAAAATTTAGACATTAAAACTTTGTGTGACTTTATTTTATTTTTTATGCCTTCCATAAGTTTTGTGTCTGTGTGTATGCACGTGTATTCATATATATGCATAGTAACTATACATACGTATGAAGGGTGGGCCACCCCTTCTTAAATCTGTGTTCTGCCTTTGGGCAGATGCCAGGAAGGGAGCTTGAGAGGGAACTGTATGCACCATAAGAGACAGAACTGGATTTTAGTTAGCTGTTGATGCTGACAGTGCACAATATTGTTTACTTAAAGAAACAAACATCTAAAGCATTTTTCTTACCTTTTATCAGTAAGCAAATATATATCCTTAGCAATATGTTTTAGCCATGGTGTGTAATAAACTTCCCAGTCCCCTTGACATCACTGCTGAGAGAGTGGAAAAGCTGATGTGTGTTGGAGCTAGAACATTTGATTCTTTACCACCAGAAACCCAGGAACTGAAAAGTGGTGAGTAGCTATTCTCCAATTAACATGATGGCTACAAAGATCTTTCTCTCTTGGTTGTCTTTTGTGTTTGAATCATAAGATGCATTGTGACCCCTACTTAGATTTAGAATTATTTTACTTGTAGCTTGATTGATGTTTACCAGTGACATGCCATAGTATAATGTCTTTTATTATATGTGTGTTTTTTTTTTTTAAATAGCCTTATGTTTTCTTTTATTCCGTGTAGCTTTTAGGGAGCTTGAACTGCTGTTTTAAGTCTGAGACTGGACCTGTTTGGGCATTTAGGAAGGGTGTTTGATTAATATTTGTACTTAGTTCTAACAGCAGAATTTCACACTGTACTAAATGCAGGAACACTCATCATATGCTCATATTCTCTTTTTATAGCTTTAAATTATTTATAAATATAATCTCTGCATGTGTTCATGTATGTAATGTCAGAAAGATGATGGTGTCTTGAAAGGGTCACTTTCTAGTGAGTCTGGTGAGTTTCTTTAAGGAAAAGCTGAAAGAAAGCTGAGAACTGGTACGTATTTAGTAGAATTGGAAATCCAAATTTCAATTGACGTTAATGTAATGCTCCCATGATGGGGGTGGCCTTATAAAGATTTGTTTAAATGGATACGTGGAGAAAAAAATAGGCCTTGCATATGACTTGGGTTTTTGGCTTTATAACTAGGCTGCTGTTTTATTGTAAGGTATCTATTATCGCTTGATATTTCAAGAGGTAGTTCAATAAAAATGGCTTCCTGAGAGTAAGGAAACGTATATTTTAATCCTCTGCTGAAGGCAAACATTGTATTCTGCAAACAACATTAAACATCATCAGTATAAGCTAACTAGAAGACACCTGCCTCTATGCTGGGACCTGCTCTTAGTTATGAAAATAGTGTGCCTGAATTTAGTGCATGTCATGGTACACAGTGGTGGACTTGCACTTTCCCTAAATAGTTTACAATAGCAAGATTGTTTAGAGTGTGAAATAGTTTGCAATTGTTAGATTCTTGATGAATTAACTAACTTCCATTTTTTCAGCTTTTCTGAAGTGCAGCAGTGAAGTAACAGCCCCAGTTATTGTCTTTGTTTCCAAAATGTTTCCTGTTGATGCGAAGACATTGCCACAGAATAAACCAAGGTAAGAAAATGTAATACTCTTCTGATCTACATTATGTACCTTCAAGAAACAATGATTCTGCTTGCTTAAGTAAATTGTTTTAGTTCTGAGGAAATAGTACCCCAATGTTAGAGATATTGTGAAGCCTTTTCAGGAAATAGAACTTCTCTGAATGAGTTCTCTTTTTTTGGAGTTAAGCACCTTGAATTCTATCTATATTAGTATTGAATCAAGCAAATAGTAATTATTTAATAATCATAATTGTATAGCTTATTTATATTTTTAATACCCTGAATAATTCTTTCAATAAGAGGATTTTTTCTTCTGGGAAAAAATGCATTGCATTTATGGCTTGTCCAGGCACTAGATGGTGCTGTTTACTTTGAGTTGTGTCTATTCATGTATCTAGGGCAGGAATTCCTGCTCAGTGTCCCTGTAGGATAGCCCTGGTGGTCCTGCTTTGTCTGCTGTCTTTGACGTGGACTATGTTAAGGGAGACATACCTCACCCCTGCCAGCCCTTCTTCAAATCTTGCCTTTCTCCCCATTCATTCAGTGAATTGCAAGTTAGTGTCTCATTTCCTGGTTTATATGAAAGGCTTTTCTTTTGTCTTTAATATTAAAGTTATTCAGTTGGTTGCTAATCAAACAATTTTAAAACAAAATCACACAACTTTCCCTGAGATAACCAGTTACTATGAGCACCATGTAATTTTGCTGATGAGCTAGTGTCAGTAATTTACTCGAGAAATGACAGTTGAATTCCATTTTTGAAAAGTATTAAGAAATATACATTTAGCTTTATTACTGTTTTAATTGTAAGAATCTGTAGGTGAGCAATTCTTGAAGAACTCGGGAAAGGAATTTATTATAAAGAGGAAGGAAAGATGTATCAGTGAAACAAAACATGCATGTGTTTGCTTAGATGTAATTCTTGAATGTTTGTTTTGAATTATACTGGCTACTATGTGCTATTTCCAGTTAAACACAGAAGCTTGTTCTTAATCAGAATTGAGCTCAGGCTGTATTAAATATGTGAGATCCAATATTTAAACTATGCAATTCACAAGGACGCATTCTTATGCCTGAACCCAGAGAAGAATAAAGAATACCTACACTGTGTGGAATAATAGTATTTTAGAAGGGTGGTTTTATAGTTAATAATTTAAGAGCACTAATAAATATTTTATGTCTCAGAATTGAATGCTAATTTTGGAAGGGCCATAATTTTTGGTGTATTCTGCAGTTTCTCTTTCCTGTTCCAAGGTGGGGCATGGTGCCTTTTGTAATATCTTTAGAAATGCGAACTGACTTTGCATCTTTTATAGTTGCTGTATTTCTGCCATCTGCTTGTCATGTTGGTTTAAGCACAGCTTGGTAAAAGCGAAAGGCTCTTCAAAGTCCAGTGTGTACAGTATATGATAAAGAAGGATGGATTTTTAATTAAGGCAGACTCCTTAGAGACTTTGGTTGGCAACAACTGCCTGCTTAGAAGGTGACTGTGTTTACAACTTTGGCACTTTTGGTATAGAATCACTTCATTTTCCTTTTGTTTAAATAACAAAATTGTCATCTATTAAAACATGAGAATAATGACAAGTTAATTGTTCTCAGGTTACAAGTAGTTGTCAGCTTAATCTTACATTGGGAAAATCTGAAATTTGACTTTTACCTGGTCATGTCCCTCTGCTTTTGCTAGATTTTCTCAAAGAAACAAGAACCGAGTGAATGTATTTGCTGTCTTCTAGTTTCTTCTATCTGAATCGTTGAAATTGTTTACTAATTCTAGCCAAGTTTGACAGATGTACAGTTTTAAGAGATATCAAGTCCATAGGCTTTCATGAAAGCGGGTGGTTGGGCGGAGTAGACAAGCAGGTTGGGGCCCTTAGTCCCTTAGTCCCAATGTAGTATGAGCTCCTGTATTTTATTAGATAATCATATATTAAAAAAGAAAAACAATAGCAAATATGGCCTGATCAGCTTCTTTTGGAGCTGCTTGGTTTGTATGATAGGGTTGTTTTTTCTTAAGTACTGCTGTGTGCAGAGTTGGTGTTTACATAGCGTACGCTGTTTCTTAACCCCTTTTTATTAGTGTTTTTCATTAGATTGCTCTCTAAAATGTCATGTGTAGATATATAAATAAAAACTGAATTTGGCACACTTGCGTACAGAGTATAAGTGTTTTTCATGAGCTTCAGAATTCCTTTTCTTACCTAATCCAGTAGAAAAGAGGAATATTTATTAGACCTAATTGTGATCCCTTTCAAGTAATTTTCAATATTCTTTATTTAACATAAAATACAGAAAAACATAAATTGGGTATCAAATGTTTGTATTTGTATCAAATGTGTGTAATAAAATCCATTACTACTTCTAGTTACTCTTAAGTGGTTATAAAGAACCTACTGACCCAGTAACCTGACTACTAAAATTATATGCCATGACTGCTTTAAGGGATATAAATCCTTTGATGTTTTCACAATTTTCTTCAAGATAATCTGAAAAGTATTTCTCTTTCCTCAGTCAACTCAAATCAGTATTTTTTTTTCTTTAGGTGCCACCATGAAATTAGCACTTTCCCACACAGTTCTGGATGGAGTCCTTAGGGTAGTTGGTACTTGATTTTGCAGTACAGCTTGTTTGCTTGTCTGAAACCAGGAGATTGTGGTGTACTTCATCTGTTCCCTTCTGATGTTTCCTAGAGCTTATATGGGAAGAAAAAAAACAGAAAACTTAAATCCTATAATATTATCTATCTTTTAGCTTAAAAAAAAAAGAAAAAAAAAACCCTTTGTTTTTGTCAAAAGAAAACATTTCTAAAACTCCAACATCTATAACAAATTATTATCTTCTTGTATGTAAATTAATCTCTATGTTTAAAGGCCATGTGACTTTCAGTGGCTTCATTCTGATCTAAGGCCATCATCTTCTTACACTAATAGTTTGTGTTAGACTATAGTTAGCGCTTAAGAGACGAGTATGTCACTAGTCATCTGCACAGCCTGTCAGGTTTGCAGGTTAACTTCTGAGGGTGGCATCTAGTTACATAATTAACGGAGCAATATGTGCTCTTTGAGAAAAGAAAAACCCTGTTAGTATCGTTATTATGAAATGAGTTGTAACTGTTTACATTTGAATCCAATTGAAACCTGTGTAACTTATCTGAGAAAATAGTCTTTATTAATGAATGAAATCTGAATCTCTTGCTATGGTTAGCTTGTGTAATTCTGAGTTTCTGCAAGAGGAGTTTATAATGTTCTGGATGTATTTTGCTTCAAGTGTTCTTTATTGCATATTTATGATTCAAGATAAATCAAAAGTCAGTTTATCAGTCAAGGGTTAGGTCTGGGTGTTTTTCTAGATCATGTGTGACAGCTTGATATTGATCTCTTGATTTCATTATGTATGCTGCAAAATGAATGACCTCTACTGTATAATGCAATGTGAAAAAGTTATACAGTATATCCCTTTGCAGCAGCCCTGTGCAGTCACTGTGAAACTTCTGTAAATACTGATTTGGATAGTTTTCAGCTGCTCGTTTTGTGTGTACACATTTATTTCTACTATGAATTCCCCAGTGCTTGTGGTTGCATTAAAAAAGATATGAAATAATTGTACTTGCTGCACATTAGCTTATGAATGGAAATAGTTCTTAAAGGTTGATCTTTAAAGGATGTTGCTGTTCAAAACTTGAGACTGTTAATTTTTAGTAGTTTTTTAGCAGTTTTGCAATGCGAAGATATTGAGCAGTTTAATTCTAGTCTAAAAATTCATGAGCTTCAGAAGGAATAGGAAGACCACTGGCCATGTTCTGTGGTGAGAAAGCAAACAAGCTACACTTGAGAGTGCTGTCCTTAGGGATGCTCTTGTCAGAAGTCTTTTTTTGTGCTGGATGCTGAGCAGAACAACAGGCAGTGACTTAACCAGAGCTTAATCCTGACGCACAGTCATGAGGATTAATCCAGAAATTCTTCTGGAAACTTGACTTTACGAATGCTAACAAAAATACCTCCTTAGCTTCCCCTTCAAAATCAAGCATGTGTCTGTGACCTCATGGGAGTTAAACTGGTGAAAACAGTGTGGATGCAAGTTCTTCTGGGCACTTGCAAAATGTCCTTGGCAGCATGGGAGATGCTTCACAGGCACTTGCTGAAGGTAGTTCCAGGCTTTTGGAAATGAGTCGACTCTGTGATTGAGTGCAACTGTATGGTCCCTCTCTGCAGCCAGTATCATGAGGCTGTAGATTCTTTCTTATGGATGGAAAAGAATTGAGGGGAAAAAAAATAGGGTGAGGAAAGTGGAAAGGAGAAAGAAAAGGAAGCTTTGGGTTTTCTTCTGGGTCAGTTTGCATTTGCTCAGGATTGATTTTACTTCTCACTGGTTTTGCCAGCTAGAGAAATTGAATAAATTGGGATATAATCAAAGGGTTTTGTTGCAGATTAACACCTTATGTGTGTTAATCTAGTACTCTGTTCTGCTTCAGTGTGTTATAATTCTATATAAGGATTTATTTGGTGATATTATCTCTTTTATGTGATATCTTAAGGAAGCTACTGGGAGTGGCTAATTTTACAGGAATCGATGTTGACAGAAACCAGGATGGAAGTCCAGGTTGTGCCTGCTAGCTAAAAACCCACACAAATGTGATCTGTTTCTTAGCAAACGGAGAATATAGCTTACTCTGCTTAAATGTATTGTAATTTACACCTGTGCATTCAGAATTTTGAAGTCCTTTGAAGATATGAGATTAAAACTATCTGACACCAAAATACATTAAAATCTTTTAAATCTGTACGTGAGGGAGGAAAAAGCAAACAACCCTTATTTTTCTTCTAATCTTTACATGTGATTCATTACATAAATCAGAAGTATTTTTGGGCAGTGAAATGTGTTGAGATGCATCCACATGTCCTTTTGTGTACGCTGTGCCATCGCATGTAGACTGCGTTTATCACACCCCGCCTGTCTCATCTGTACTTTCCCTATTAATGTCTCCCGCGGGAATTATTCAGACATTACAAACCCTTAAATAGCTTTGAACAACTGCCTTCAGGAAGAAAAAACTCATCATAGAAATGTTTTCTTCTCTACCATCTGCTTTGCATTTTGTATTGTTAAACCTCACTCTCTTCTGCAATAAAATAAAAAACAAACAAACAAAAAATCCTCATTGCCCCAAGTTTCAAGAGACAGATTCTTAATTCTGACCCGGTGACTATTTAAGAGATGGGGACAGGGAGGAGAAAAAGTTTCTAAATAGTGGCCACAATTGTCTGTTTTGCTGTTTTTTTTTTTTTTTTTTTTTTTTGGTGTATGTGTTTGTTTTGCCTTCTGGCATATAATATGTTCTAGTTTCAAGTCCTGAAACTATACTTCAAAACTTGGACATTTTACCCTGGCAGTTTCTTACAGGTGGTAGAGATGGTTGTTGATTTATGTACAGGGTTTTTTGCTTTTCTCAGTTGAATTCAAGGTTAGCAAGGCAGCTTATTAAGAGTTGTTACCTCAAGTTCTGAAAACGATTTCAGTAAAATGAAGGATTTTGTTAAGCATTTCTAAATTATCTCTTGCTGAATATTTTATATGCAAAATGCATTGATATTATGATATAGAAATTTTATTGGCAGTGAGTTTGTCTCAGACGCATGATCTGTGCATGGATTTCTGCCTCTAACTATTCCATATTCTTATTAAAGTCGGCTCTGAGTCTTCACTGTCCACACACAAAAACTTTGACCTTTAAATGATATGTTACCTCCTGATTAGGGAATGCGAAATGGTTGATGTGGGGCTGTGAATCATCCTATCTTTTAAGTAGATATCATATTTGTGTTCCTGAAATTATTTATCAGTGCTCTAAAGCAATATGTATATCTTTTGCTCACAATATATACCTCTTGTGGTAATGGCAGAGCATGATTAGCACAAAAATGCCCTTTTACTTTGCCTTTGCACTTTGTTTTATTTTGCCAATTATATCTTAAATAGGAAGAGTAAAAAGTAGGTATTGTATTTGTCATTCTCATGTTGAGATGTAACTCTTCTTTTTGCTGACCTGAAATTGTTCACTTAAATTCTTTTCCTTTGAACTTTTACACTTTTATCTCTTTTGCTAAACAAAAGAGAGGCTTCATTTAGGAAATGTGCCCTGTCTGTGTGGGAATCCCTCTGTATAAACACTCTGTCTTGCTTATCTTGGCTTGAAGCCTGACTTAGCAGATTCCAAGGTATCCAAAAATGTTTGACAGGTGATGCTTATGGATTGGTGAATTGATTTTTTTTCTTTGCTTTACTCCTGCTGTGGTTGGGGTAATTTTCTTAGGAAAGATAGGCTTGATATGACAGTGTGAGCGACAAACATTAGCATTCATGATAATTTCTGTAGTCAAAGTTGGACTTCTGTTTCTGGGAGAATGCAAAGGCTAAGATCCAGTGAGGTGTAAGCTGCAAATTGCTTTAATTCTCCCTTACCTGTTATTCTAACTTTTCTGCTTTTATAATTCAAAAAAAAAAAAACCACACACAAGAAGACTTTTTAAAGTACATTCTCATGTTCACAGCTTGTATGTTATGTATGTTTAACTCACCTCACAGTTTAAAATGCCTGAGAGGAGTTGCAAGTAGAAGCAATTTGTATATATTGTCTTTTGGAAGAATGATTACATGCCATTCTATAAAATGTTTCTTCTAGTTTTACTTTAAATCTTATGTTGAGCCACTTTTTTTGGTTTAATAGATTTTTTTAAAGATAGGCCTCACCAGTGGTGACATAGAAATTACATCAGAATATTGAAATTCTCTTTTTGTTTTCCTGTCTTTTGTTTTTTTATTATCTTGATTTTTCTATGAGATTATTCATTTTATGGGAAGGCTACTATAGCAAGCAAAGTCTTTTCCCTGCATTTGAATGCTTGTCTTAAAAATGACATTAGAATAGAAAAATAGGCCAAGTAATTCAAAACGAGAGTATTTAGTTTGTGTGAATTTGAGGGAGTTGGAGAGTCTCAGGTAATCTTTTATAACTAGTTTGATATCCAAGAAGTTATTTTATTACATTTAGTCTTAGCTGTGGTTCTAGTGCTCAGACTATGATTCTGGACATGACAATGAAGTGATTTTTTTAAACTGGGTTGGATCTTTAATGAAAAAGTGAATATTAGTGGCAGAAACCATTGATTTATTTCAACAAAATAAAGGAATAGGAATAGACAGTAGACTATTTCTAAATGTGGCAGAGGAGCAAATTTGTATTTATCTTGTCAGCTAAAATAAGCTATGTAATAAACTTTTACTTATGCAAGATATAATGTAATTATTGTGATTTTATTTTTAAGATGGCATTTCCCAATATTAACATTTTAAAATATAATTTAGACCTTTGACTCAAGAAGAAATAGCTCAGCGGCGTGAACTTGCAAGACAAAGGCATG